CGGGGGAGGGGGGAGCTGGCGCGCGGCTCGGTTTCCATTAGAGACGCAAAGTTTCTGCTCCGGGAGGAGGAGGTGGCGGTCGCCGGCGGGCTCACCGCCTGGGGGAGCAGAAGGGAAAAGCGAGGCGACTTGGCTGCAGCAGGAGAGTTGAGGTGGGCGTAGGGGTCGCCCTGGCCATGGAGGGGCGGAGCCCCCACGGTTGTCCTAGGGTCGCCTCGGCACGCACCCTGGCTCGGCCCTTCTCCCCGCATTTCTCCTGCTCCGCGCTACTTCCCAGTCCGCAGGAAGATAGATGCCCTCCACGTTTCTTTCTCTGCAGCCTCTAGATTGGCAGGTGTGACTGCGCCTTGCTGGGTGCGTTTTCCACAACCCCCTTTCTTCTTGGCGGGCCAGGCTGACATCACCACATCACCGCAGCGTTTTCTGGCTTGGCAGGGTGGGGCGGTGGCCGTGGCTGTGTTCTCCAACACCTTTAACCCTAGGCCCCCAGGACTAGAGGCAAGGGAAATTTCATGGTTGAGGAAGGCGGATGCATTTGACAACTCTTTTTTTGTGGCGAGGTGAGACTGTTCTCCCCGTAAGGTGACAGTTTCTCCTGCGAGGTGTGGCAGTACTTCCTGTTGTACAAGGTGCATTGCCTTGGCATTACATAAATCATCGTGTCTCTTTCATTTGATATAAAGTAAACCAGTTTTCAGTGACCCGGCCAGAAAAGAAGGAAGATCTTCCTACAATTCATAAAAAAACTAAGTTTTCCCTTCCCAAATCAATGTTTGAAAAGCCATTTCAACTGTGAAAGTTTCTATGTAAGAAAACAAACTTAATGCCATCAGCTATTAAGACCTACATTATAACTGGCTTCATTAGACATCCTTTTTAAAATAAAAATGCATATGAGGTGTTCTCAATCTCCAATTCCTCTGGCTGGAAGCACAGGCAGGGTGTTGGGAGGATCAGATAATGACCAGATAATGAAGTATGCCTATAAGCTCTTATGTCATTCTTGAAGGGTATAGTCTCCTAATTACTACATACTTCATTTTTGCAGTTTTGTTAACACATCAGTTGTAAAATGGTTCCTTTTTTTCCTGCCTCCGGAATCATAAGATAATTTGAGAGCATTAGGCCCTGTAAGTGGTAGGCTTTTAATAAATGACTGCCTAACTTATGTGATTGGAAAGCATTTATTACATGAAAACGGAAGTTGATAGAGTAACCCATTGCCATGTATTTATTTTTCCTACTCAATCGTTGCTCGTAAAGTGGATATAAAAGCCTGTAATCCAACCCAATGCCATTATGTAACGCCAATTTGGAGATTTCAAGGGCCTGAAGCAATGCGCAAGGTGTGCTGAAAGCCTGCTCCTGGACAGGATCCTGATCCTGGCTGCGGCGGCTGTGGCCGCCAGCCCGCAGCAGCCTTGGGCTGGGTCCCGTCTTGCTGGAGGTGGGGACTGCAGTGTCCCTGGTGCGGTAGGTGGCGCTCTTTTTTCTGAGTCAGCTGCGGTTACAGCCGTTGCTGTGGGGCCTTTTGCCACTAGAGGTGCCATTTTTCACATTATGAACTGACCCTTCCTAGTGGACTCTCCAGAACATGCTGTAAGCTGGAGGCTCAGGAAGGAAAACCTGAATCCAACAGATGTTGTGACTTCCTTGTCATGGTGGTTAAACTAGCAGTAAAGGGCTCCCTTCGTTTTAATTGCTTTCAGTAAATGATAATGCTGAAGATTTTAAAGAATTTTTAAAATATCTGTTTTTAAAATACCACAGTGTGTAACTGGAAGACTTAGGTTGCTCTCAAACAGGCTGTCCTGGATTGAATTATCACCTTTTCTTTCTCCATGTAGGCTGATCAGCTGACCGAGGAACAGATTGCTGGTAAGTTAACAACTCCGGGGAGTCCCCAGAAAACCAGAACTAGCCACTTTATCAGTTTGGCTGACTCCTCTGACTCCTCCCTTCTCCAATCTTGAGTAGTTTTCTAAGAATTTATTTAAATGAAAACAGAAAAATTTAGCCCAGGAGTTACTCCTTGCCAGTATTAGGGATATAATGCTGGAAGGAAGTGGAATTAAGCGTGCCCGCTCATTACACTCCAAAGTATCAGGTTATGCTTCACAATGTGTGAAGCTTTGTGTATACTGAGTTCGCACTGAGTCTGCTTCTGAAAAATTTAGTTTGTTATTATGCCTTGGGTCATTTAGTAACCCACCTGGAAAACTTACGCTTGCTTACTGAAAATGAATGAAAATGGGTGAAAAAGTGTGCCAGAGCCACTGTAATAATCAGGAAGGGAGTTATATTAGTTTAGGTTTTCTCTCCATTGTCCTTTGGAAAATTCGCTTTGAGAAGGTTTCTCTTTAAGAGAAAACCAGGAATGCTGCTGAAATACTCTAAATGCCTTGTAGAGAGAACATTCTGGTTACCTAGTAACCTTTTCATGTTGCTATGAAACAAGCGGTTCTTATGGCTGTAGAAATTTAGCAGGAAAGGACCTTAAGGGAACACATGGACCAGGCTTCTCCTCTTATACTAGACTTGGGACTAATTTAAGTGTGTGCAAGCCTAGCCTTTTTTAAAAATGTGAGAATCCTGTGGCTTTTATAGAACTCGTTACTAGGAGCAGTGTTTGCTTTGTGGGCTGCTGTATGAAGGCCAGTCCAACAGGTCTGTTATGGTCTTCATTTCAGTAGATAAAGACCAGGCGGTTTCTGATAACTTGTACAACTTGGCTGGCTGGCTTTGGCAAGCCCCAGGGAAGTGTGTATTGTAGCTGGATTGGGTAAAGACATTCCTTCTAAAAGGTAAATCTTTGTTTTCAGAATTCAAGGAAGCTTTCTCCCTATTCGATAAAGATGGCGATGGCACCATCACAACAAAGGAACTTGGAACCGTCATGAGATCGCTGGGTCAGAACCCCACAGAAGCTGAATTGCAGGATATGATCAACGAAGTGGATGCAGACGGTAAGGGCTTTAGAACCACCAGTGAACACCACCGGTATTGTGTAATTCAAGTTCCAACATGTTACAGGATTGTCTTTCAGGTCCCCAGAGCAAAACAAGCGTGTAGAAGTCCTTTCTCTGGTTGCCTTAGGGCCATTAACAATTGAAATAGAAGATTATGGGCCCACTGTTTGCCCTGCTTACTGTCTAGAATGTTTCCTGGATGGGATCACTGTATTGTTCTTTTCTGCTTGCCGTGACTTACAGCTCAGATCTTGAATCAACTGGCTTATGAGTCTGCACTGAGTTATGTAGAAGAAGTAGAAAAAATTAGCTCTGAAGCCTTTTTAAAGAGCTCATTTTCACTGAGAGGATAAACCCTGAAGTAAAGTGGGGAAAGTGCTTTTACACATTAACATAGAACCGAGCAGTATGAGCTATAGATGTGTTTGCTAAAGATCATGTATGGTTTGGAGGTGGGAGTCCCTGGCTCTAGGGCATAGCTCTGCAGAACCTAACAGAAGGGGAAGCTGTTTGGTGCAAAGCCAGAAGGAACCAGTGTAACCTCTGAAGCAGTCATCTGTTGCTCTAGACTACAGAAGCGAATAACGGACCTTGTATAACATTATAGAATGTAATGTTTATGAGTTTTGTGTGTGTGTGCCTTAGGGTGCATATGCTTGCCAGAGAGACAGAGACTGAGAGGGAAAGTGAGAAATCACCCCTCCAGGCAGGCTGCACCACAATCCCTTCTCCATTCTCCTTCTGGGTTCTTGTGCACACATGCAGACACACCTCACATGATTTTCAAGTCACCATGTCTGGGACTCGAACCATGGTAGTCCATGTATGAGTCCAGCAATGTAACAATTAACTAATACTTTTTTTTTTTTCTTTTTAAGAATTATTTTATTGAACTTTAATTAGTTAATTTTAATTTGACCAGAGAGGGTCAGAGTGGGGTTTGGGGGGAGGTTAGAAACCAAGCCACCAGGTCTGGGACTCGAACCGCGGTTGGCCATGTGGGAGTCTAGCACCCCTAACCACCACACTACCTGCCAGCCCCTAGATGCTTAACTTCTAAAATGGTGGCCATTTAAAAAATAAAAGGTGTCATTAGGGGATTCAGTAGAATTACACTTGTCAAGTCACAGATACTCAGAAGCTGGGATTTTGGGTTCAAGTTCTTTGATCCCTTTCAAGCCGTTAGAGTTACTTCTAAAGATGGTTTTTATGCTTAATATGCTTTTGGGAGCAGTTGCTCCTAATCCTCTCCAGTGTGACTGCTAAGGTGCTCAGCCACTGGGAACAGGGGTGGCTCCCTCCTGTTGTGCAAAGATTGGGCAACCAGGCCTGGGGGTGGAGAAGTTTGCCAGGCGCTCACATTGTGTGGAGCAAGGTGGGAGTTGTCAGGCCACAGACCCTGAATCCGCACTGGCTAAGAACATTCTGCTTAGTCGTGAGAGCAGCTCAGATGAGTTCTGTTTTATACAAACATCAACACTTCTTTATTAGTTCAGAAATCAAGAGGACTTGACGGGATTGTTGAGTAACTGCTTTATCTGTTAAAACTGAGCACCTTAACCCCATGCTTTTTTTTTCTTAGTTTATTTCCATTTAAGTTAAATTGTTCATTTTGATGCTTGTGTTTGGGGGTAGTCGTCTGTCTCTCAGTTTTGAAGGAGGAGTTTGGCATATTGACCATAGAGCGGAGTCTTATGACAGTTTTCTAATATCAGCTGGGGAAGTCCTCTGAGCTGTTCCCATAGTGAGAAATAAAGATATGAGCTGGGGGGAAAAGGCAGCCCATCAGACTGTGATCCACAGTGCCTTCAGAGAAGGCTTTTTGGCCCAAGCCATGACAAAGTCAGTTCTTCCCTTCTCATAATCTTTTCTTCCTTCCCTAAAACATTTTGTACTCTTAACTTGCGGCCCAGCTCTAGTTTTCTTTACATGGCTAGCATCATTAGCCGTAGCACAATAAGACTGAGCGTTCTCCCTAATTTGGGGTGGGGGCAGTGGCAGGCAATTACACGTCCTTCCTTCCCTTGAGAGGGAAGACTCGGCCTGCAGTGTCGTGTGCTGCTCTTCCCTCGGGCTGTACAGTCTCCCCCAGTGGTCATGAGCCCAGAGGTGCCGTTTTCTTTGCATCGTTAAAAGCCATCCTAGGTGCTGGTTATTAGTTTTGAGTCACATGAAATTGCCTGTGAAGTATTTGAACGTTCTTGACCTACCCGTGGTTTAGACTAATATGCCACTTTTCCTAGCAGATGTTTAACGTCCTATACCATGGTTCTGAATGTATTACTGCTGAGCAGTTTTAACAGAGTGCTTGTTTTACATGAGCTTTTTTGTTTTTAAATTTCAGGTAATGGCACCATTGACTTCCCAGAATTTTTGACTATGATGGCTAGAAAAATGAAAGATACAGATAGCGAAGAAGAAATCCGTGAGGCATTCCGAGTCTTTGACAAGGTAACCCTGCATCTGGGCAGCAGACAGCACTTGCTGCGCCTCTAGTAAAAGCAGTAACAGTCTGTTAGAGGTAGAACACCTAACCTCACAGCCTGAGCCTTCCATCTGACGTTTAAGTATCTGGAATTCTTTTAGCAACCTAATCTGGTGAGGGGAGGCACCATCAAGAGGAATTTAAAACCAAGTTCCTCAAGGAATAGTTTTTGTTGTTTCGAAAACCCTTTATGTTTCTGCATTAGCCGACTGCGTGTTTAGTAGAGGAGGAACTGGAGATGGGAGAACTGTTGATGTGAGCAGCAGTGGCAGTAACTTGAGAAGGCATAATTAAGTCACCGATCTCCTTGCCCACACCAACCCACTTGTCAGCTGCCGTCAATAACAATTGCTGACTGTTCACAGGATGGCAACGGTTACATCAGCGCGGCAGAACTACGTCACGTCATGACAAACTTAGGAGAAAAGCTAACAGACGAAGAAGTAGATGAAATGATCAGAGAAGCAGATATCGACGGAGACGGACAAGTCAACTATGAAGGTAAGCACGACATTTGTTCAGCTACGTTAGCAGTCTGATCTTCAGGACCTGTACACAGGTCACCTGCTTCATTAGACAGTGCTTGATACTATTTCATACAGAGTAGACATTCTGTGTTCATGAAAGCCACTTTTGAAGATAACCAAAAGTTTTGATTATTTGTCTTTTCAGAATTCGTACAGATGATGACTGCAAAATGAAGACCTACTTTCAACTTCCTTTTTCCCCCCTCTAGAAGAATCAAATTGAATCTTTTACTTACCTCTTGCAAAAAAAAAAAAAAAAAAGAAAAAAGTTCATTTATTCATTCTGTTTCTATATAGCAAAACTGAATGTCAAAAGTACCTTCTGTCCACACACACACAAAATCTGCATGTTTCGGTTGGTGGTCCTGTCCCCTAAAGATCAAGCTACACATCAGTTTTACAATATAAATACTTGTACTACCTTAATGATAAGGAAGCACTTAGTGGACTCCTTAAAGTTCCATTTGCTAATGATTAATACACTGTTTGGGCTGGCCAGTTTTTCATGCATGCAGCTTGACGATTGAGCACAGTCAGGCATTTGTATTAAAAACGAAAAATGAAAAAACAAATTCAAAACCTATTCCAGTGGGTTCTAGTTCAATTTGTTAGTTTCAATTGCTATAGCTGGTTTACTGAAAACAGACACTCTTGACAATTGGTGTACCTCAGGATGATGTGCAGAACAGTGGGCGAGACCTAACCCCACTGCTAGCAGGATGGTCCCCTTGTACTTCCGTGTGCTCCGACCCATGGTGACAGTGACACACTCTGGTGGCATGCCCCGTGTACGTTGGTTTGGCGTTGTCTGCGTTGTACTAGAGTAAAATGTGTCAGGCTGTCACTGCTCACACCAATTTTTAATAAGAAACCTATACTAAGGGAGCATCTTTGGACTCTCTGTTTTTAAAACCTTCTGAACCATGACTTGGAGCCGGCAGAGTAGGCTGTGGCTGTGGACTTCAGCACAACCATCAACATTGCTGTTGAAGAAATTACAATTTACGTCCATTCCAAGTTGTAAATGCTAGTCTTTTTTTTTTTTTTTTTTTTTCCAATAAAAAGACCATTAACTTAAAGTGGTGTTAAATGCTTTGTAAAGCTGAGATCTAAATGGGGACAAGGCAAACAGGGCAGGCCCATGTCCGTGTAAATGCCCTCAGCCCGGCATTGGGTTTCCCTCCCTCGCAAGATCCCAGCACCAACCTCTGAGCCTAAGACCTTGCCTAAAAACAAGCAGATACTGATTGCTTCATCATACTTCGGATGTAGGTCTAGTTGCATTTTCACCGGGGGGAGGGGGGAAGAGGCGAATCATGGTAATTTTTAATGATCTGTTCAGGCAGTAGAGCTCTTAATGAAGGAAAAAAAAATTTCTCTCAAGCATGTATTTAGGGGTTCTTCTCAATTGTGCTGCTGATTACCTGTTTTATGTAAGTGCTTGAGACCATCTGTGCAAGAGACATGATTTAGTGTGTCTGTAATTCAATCCTTGCTGTGTGTGGTAGAAGCAGTAGTCACTTTTCTAAGCCAGTCTCTTCATGCCTAAAAGACACTACCGATCACCTTTGATTTTCCATTTTTAATTTATAAATCTAATCTTAGCCTCTCCTTATTTTTTTTCTTTTGTAAATGTTGACTTGACTTTGCTTCCCACCCCCCCCTTCCCCCAGAACTAATGCTAGCTGCCGGCTTGAAAGTAAAGTTCCAGCCCAGAGTGAATTTCGTGTCTAATTATAAACCTGTAACCAAAACTCAGACATGCTGGTACTGGTCTTTGCAGTGGGATTGGTTCATTTTAAAAAACAAACAAACAAAAAAAAAAAACAAAAAAAAACCCTTAAAATCATATTGCATTTAGTACAGAGCTCTTTTTTTTTTTTTTTTTTAAAGTGAAGGCTGGATGTGCATTTTTCAGGGTGTTAACTGGTTGTATCTTATTAGCAAGGAGATTTGGGTTTTGAGTGTGTGTGTGGGTGGTTTTAATTTGCCAGGGAACAGTGGCAGGCTGCTGGCGAGGCAGTGAGAAGCTCTTGGCAGCCAAGTGGGTGCATTCAGGGCTGATTTATAGAGACCCTTGGCTTCTCCCTCTCCTACTCCCTGCCTTTCTGGCATTTTGTAGCTTGCGAGGTTTTCTGCCAGAGAGGTGGGTCAGAGCAGTGGAGAGGAGGTAGGGCCCATGTGCTTTTGCTGCTGGCCCTTAGACTGGGTGGTTGGTAGAGAAGAGGTTGGCCATGAACTAAGGATTGGCTTTTCCCTAAGTGAATAGGACACCTAGGACTACCTTGGGTTTCTCTTCTAGTGAGAGCGCAAGTGCTGAGGACTCCTGTTTGAGTAGGTTAATGACCTTTTGGATGTTCCTTGTAGAGGGTCACATAGCCCAATTTAGACCCATTCCCAGGCCAGTGGTTGATGACCTCTTTCGGTAGTTCCTTGGGGGGTGATTTGGTGTTTTTTTTTTTTTCTTAATATAACTTAAGCCTTCTCATCCTTTAACAAGTCTTTCTAGAAGCTGGGTGGACTCCATTTTTGCAGTCCAACAGCCTGTCCTAACAGACTAGCAGTGAGACAAGATTCTTTTATTTTTAGACCCATTCCCAGGCCAGTGGTTGATGACCTCTTTCGGTAGTTCCTTGGGGGGTGATTTGGTGTTTTTTTTTTTTTCTTAATATAACTTAAGCCTTCTCATCCTTTAACAAGTCTTTCTAGAAGCTGGGTGGACTCCATTTTTGCAGTCCAACAGCCTGTCCTAACAGACTAGCAGTGAGACAAGATTCTTTTATTTCTAGGATCCTGTATGGGAACTAGAAACCCTATCCCCCCCAGGGAATTTCCAGTTTGGAGCAGAGATGAGGCAGAGTCACTGTAGCCTTTCCCTCCTGCTATTCAGGGGGGACACCCACCCGGTCCGGGTGTCAGCAGCCTGCGTGAGTTTGTGAGGATAACTGGGTGTCATGGCAGTACTCTTGAAGTTGGTTAGCACCTTCCTGTAAACTCATCCCTACTTCTAACTACTCTATAAATATATACATATATTTATATATAAAGTGATTAGTTTAACCGGCATCCCGCTTTAGCCTGAGACTTGCCATAAGAAACTGCTGAGTACTTGGCAGATCCTTTTACGGTTGTGTTCTCCATCTGTTTGGGGTAGGTGTTGAGCAAGGCAGATGGATCTCGATATTTCAGATGGGCCTTTAACGCACTGTTGCCAAGGAAGGCTTTTTCTGATTTTTTTGACAAATGAATTTTTGCACACTTTAATTGGTGTCTTTCGGCAACTTAAAACACACACACACACACACACACACACACACACACATTGAAAATGAGCTATTGTACATATTTTTATATTCTCTTTATAAATGCATGTCTGATTGTACTTGTAACAATATTGTAATGAATGGCTGTCCGGTAGGCCCAGTGCCGCTGTGTCACGTCAGAGGAATAGCATCTTATTAGCAGCCCCTCAGCATATTGGGAACTTATTCCTGAACAAAGAATGTAAATTTGGTCAAGTCTACTCTTCATTCAATTATTTGAAGCATTTGAATTATTTATTGTATATCCTAAATATATTTATCCTTTTTGGCAGTGACTAGATTTCCACTAACGTGTCTTAATCTATCCCTTCAGCTGGCAGTTACTGTTTTACCCCTCGAAGTTGTCCTGTAGGAGACAGAAGTTCTTTGCTGTCTGTATCCCTTGGAGTGAGGAGGTAGTGGCATGGGTGGAGTGTGTGTTCTTTCTCCAAATCTATTACAATGTTAAAATTAAACACTTCTGTAGTGAAGATCACGATGGTGATAGTTCTCTCGTCACCGTAGCTATTTTGAAAAGGAGATGTACTTGAACGTTTCTGTAAATCTTGGGATAAACTGTTTGGAGATTTAACCACCTCTCTGATGGGGGACCAACTCTATGGAAATTGTAAATAAGTTTTATTTATAAACCTGGCACTGTATTCAATAAACATTTCTGCAGCCTTTCATCTCTAACTGCGAACTGTGTAGGTTTTTAGCTTGTAATCCCTCTTGCTTTCTTTACAAGAGATACCTGCCCTCAGGTGTAATTCCACATGGGATAGGTAAGCAAGCATGAGGGGCCAGCAGTACCATAGACAGCTCCCACAACTCGAAGTGGTTTGGGTATTGAGAGCCGACACTTGAATCCAATCTCTCCGTATGTTAAGTATCCCGTGCTTGCTTTATACAGAAAATTTCTACCATAAACAGATTAATTTCTCTTTAACCTCAGTGTTGATCCAAGCCTCTTTGGGAATTATGTAATGCATTTTAAAACAGGATGCATTTTAAAGTAAGACAGAGGACAGAGGTGCACACTTTGGCCCAGGTCTAGAGTAGGGCAACAGGGAAGTGGGGTAGGATACAACTTCCTTTCAGAACCTAGGCATTGCAGCCTTGCCCTTAATTGGAGCTGCCTCTGATTCTGCCGCTTACTTGAGGCGCTCCAGCAGCAGAGGCCACTGTGTTCCGCTTCCAGAAGGATCTTTTCCAGGCTGCCTTATACATTTCCTTACTGTACAGAAGCAATGGAACGATGAGAAGGGACCAGCACAGATCCTAGGGGAAGCCCCTGCTTTGGCTCAAAACACATCTTCAGGGAGCATTCAAGTGGCCCCTTCTGTGTAGAGGAGCTGAGACTGTGAGAGGTGGACACCACCCTGGGACAGAGCCCTCTGCTCTGAGGCTTTGGATCTTGCTTTTAGTTTTGGTTCTGTCCCTGGTTTATTGGGTAAGTTCCTCACCTTCTCTGGCCTGCTTCATTCTTGGTTAAAGAAGGTTATTGGACTTGGTATTTTCTGCCTGTGGCTCACTAGGATTCCGACCAACCTGGTTTGGTGCTACATGGTGTTTCCATGGATTGGAATTGCAGCCTGAAGGGTGGGAGGCAAAACTGTAGGAGTTCACGGTGTCCTTTAAGATGAAAATGGGAGGGGCCAGCAGTTAGTGTAATTGCTATGTCTCTGGACTCCCACGTAGTCGACCGCAGTTCACGTCCCGGACCCGGTGGCTTAAAACTCCCGCCGGGCGCGTGTGCATTCGTGCCCAAGATCCTGAGAGGAGAATGGAGCAGAAGGGGTTGCAGCGTGGCCATCCCCTTTGGGGGGTGATTTCTCACTTTCTGTCTCTCTGTCTGTCTGGCGAGCACAC